ACACGATGCAACACGATGAAACAAAGTGCAATACATGTAATACAACAAAAAGAAACAAAAAAAATACTTGTATACAATAGTATCACAATAAATACACAACTCAATCAATCATTTCGAATTATTACATTTATCCATTATGTTATTTCGCTTTTCTTTATCATTTCTTCTCAGGTATGTCGCTTGTAGTGACACCAGTGTTAGTGTGCCTCACCAAAGAGACATCATTTTCTTTTTCCATACCAGTTGATGGTGATACTTCCATGCAAAATATCAATCTTTTAGAATGGGAAGATTTCTTCGTTTGACGAGATACTAAATTGGTATTCTGAGATGGCAACTTAGGAAGAAACTTACGACGAGTCCTTGTAGGAGTAACAAGAGAATGCTCCTTTGCATGGTTATCCCCCGATGGCACCAATTCATCTAAGCTGAACCTACTAGATCGAATGTCATTGTCATTTTCATTGTCATTTATCTCTTCTCTATAAGGAGAGTCCTTTTTACGACCAAGCTTGGGAGATTTTGCTCTTGTTGTAGGAATCTTTTTTGAGCTCCACCTGTGAGGTGGAGGTTCCTGATAGAAGATTGGCATTGGAGTTGCTTTAAATGTTAATGACTTTCTAAACATTTTGATCTCAGCTTCTTGTGATTCCTTGGTCTTTACTTGCACATTCCTCTACTCCATTTCCTTTGCATGGATCTTTTCCTCTAGCTTAGAGTAGAGTTCTTTCCTTTTCTTCATCACTTTCATTACACTTGAAATTGAAACCATAGCATGGAAGTGCATTAACTCTATGCGACTTGGCATCTTCAGATATAGGACTTGCAGAGGATTGAGCCATTGATTCAGCTTTATTTGGAGGATCTTTCTTGAGAGGTTTCACTTTAGGTTTTTCCGTAAAGCCTTCAGGGTGTCCACTACTCGGGAAGATGTTTTATCTGTTTGCTTAGAATGATTAGCCTTCACAGAAGAAGGAACCACCTTTGGATTTCTCTGACTAGCTTTCCCATCATTTATCAATTTACTCTTTTCAACAAGAGCAATAGGTTGTTTATCGAGTGATTTGGAGGTCATAGTTCCATTGAGTTTTTCGTATTTGCCTTTATTTGGCCCAGAAACTACAGTATGTGCAAAGTTTGAAGGCTTACCGTTTTTAAAGCTTTCCGGAAGCTTTCTGTGGCTCGTCACTCTTGTGCTCTGTGTAATTCTTAGCTTTGGATTCCTTAGAACTAGGATTGCCATTGCCCATTGCTACATAAAGGCATTTTCAATTTGTCTCCAACCACTTCAATAGAAGTTTCAACAGCTTTATCATCATTCAAAATGACACCCTTTTGAAAAATCTCTTGCATCCGATCCCTTCAATCTCAGTAGTGCTGTTGGATACCCCTTCAGACTTGTCAACAGATTATGTGATCCTAAAGTACTTAAGAAAACGGATGTGAAATTGTAAGAAAACAATTGAAAAGTTTCAATAACTAGTAACTACATAAGCATAAGTCATAACCACAAAAAATATGTGAACTAAACCAACAACAATCTAAAAATCAGATTGTAGATTTTACTCGCTTAATTCATAACAACAATTTGGGAGCAATCTATGGATATTCCAGAATTCATAATTTAAAATTCACCATATACACCAACCTAAATTGTAAGAAATTAATGGTCTAATAAAACTGAACGCAAACAAGTCACAGTGTTCACATTATTAAATCATTGTTCACAACAAGTAAATCCAAAGAGCTTTCTGAGTTCACAACCACATAACCCCTCAAATTCCAGAAATAAAGATATAAAGCTGAACTGAATAAAATATAAAAACTTAAAGAAAAATACATACCTGAACATCAGAAGACCATCGACTCAACGAGCAGGCATGGGCAGAGGTCGAAGGGAGCAGCCGCGTAGGGTGGGACTAGGGAGCTAGTGAGGGGCACAAGTGCACGGGTGGGACTAGGGAGCTAGTGAGGGGCACACGTGCACGGGACAGTAGGGCACTGGGATCTACGAAGTGAAATAAAGACTTGCAACAGAGATTTGATTAATTTTGAGATTTCCGGCAAAGCGGTGAACGCCAACCGGCGTGAGTGCGTGGCAGCAGGTCTCAATTTGTTTGCTGCGACAGTTCGACTCGCGGTGAGAATGGACATACTGATGTCGACGGTCGCTCAGCTCGTTATTGATTCACGGCTTCAGGACGATTGAGATGGACTGGGAAAGCTGTGCTGCCGCCGATTAAAGTGAAGTCGAGGCTGTTTGAGGAGATTGATAGAAGCAGATGAACGTAGGCTTTGGGGAGATAAATCGATGTAGATATACGCTTGATTTTTTCCGGACTTGATTGTGCTTAGCATTTAAGCTTTCTTTTGAAATAAAGGAATTATAACTGAAAAGTTGAAAGTTAAAAGTGAAAAGTATTAATCTTGGTGGACGTAAATGAAATGCTATGTGCAAATGTGTATTATCCCGGTAATTTGCACGATATTAATAGGAGCGGATTAAAAAGTCTGAGTTGGATTGACCGAAAAGTATATTAGGCTTGAAAAATTTTAGCTTGCTCTTAATTAGCTTTAGTCACCACTTTCTTTTGCTACAGCAAAAGGAAAACTGTAGTATAAACATAAAGTGGAAACAAAATTGACAACAACAACACGAGGAAAAATTTAGATTGCTCTGAGCATAACAAAATTTTGATGCATGTTAGATCAGTTTTCCATCACGTATTCACCAATCTTTGAACAAGAAGTTAAATATGGGCCGTGCAAAAAAACAAAAATTGCTGGTACATTACAGATCAGATATGGAACCCGACGTAACATCGCCGGACTTGTTTGATAATGCATAGATAGAGATAATATGTATAGATGAATCTATGCTCCAGGCCAGTCTCTCATTCACATGGCTCTCCAAAAATATGGTCTTCTGGCTTCTGCACACCAATCATTTTCACCACAGCATAAGTCGTGGGTTTGTTTTTATGACATTTCACCAAATCATACTTATTCCGTTTCACAATCTTTGACACACTTTCTTTTTTGGCTGTTTCACAATCAATGACTCACTTCCTTATTTTCTTATTTGGTAAATAAATCTTTACCAAAACAGTGCAAAACAGTATCAAACAGTGCAAAACAGTATCAAACAGTGTCAAACGGTGTACTCTACAGTAAAATTTACCCCTCAGTAACATTTTTTCCTTAATTCTTGACAAGTCAAACTGTGTCAAAGATTGTGAAACGGAGGGAGTATCTTATTGTATTACATGCAGGGCAGAGGGGGCGAGTTTATACTACTCACTCCATCCTATAAAATTCTTCTCAATGAGGGACGGTAGTGTATGTATTTCTAATCAATGTAAATTGCGAATGCATGATTATATCTAAAAATGAATTTATATCAACTGTAAGCCGTAATGAAGTATAGTATAACTCTAAAAATGTATATATACACTAAGTCAGTTTAAGTTTGGTTAAAATGAATTTAAAAAGGAAACAAGGAAGATAAAGGTTTGCACTTCATTTTAGTAAATTTCGAGTTTACCGCCCATTTGAAAAATAATACTCTTTAGATATTTACATCCAAAAAAATAAGAAATATCTAGATATGACCCTCTTGAATATGTCAGGAACTTAATCATAGTTACTTATATTCAATTTTTACATTTAAATGATCATGACATTATATTATAGTAAATATTTGTCGTATTAATGCAAATGAGTTTTATTTTAGATTTTTTTAAAATCTTCTTTTTAATTTCCCAATGATGTGATAGTATGGTTATATACTTATATGGTTTCATGATGAGAATACTTTACTCATATTTTAGGGAAAACATTTTAAAGTATGTTACTGTCATATATTCATATTGAACTTACTTTGTAGGATCATTCTCAGCTCGGATTTAATTCAGTCTCATTTTTAAACTGGTTTTTATGACTTGACAGAGGTCAAGTGTTTTAAGAGGATTTGTTGTATTATATTTGGATCAATTAATATAAACAACAAAATTTATGTGAGACACAAATTTTCATATAATTTTTAATCTTATTTGAATGCGTCTCTGTGCCATTTGATTATGCTTAACACTTGATCTTTGTAATTATGCTCATACTGTTTATCAAAATGCAAACAGATATATAGTTCGAATCATCTTATTATTGTAGGTATCATATCTCACACATTAGTCTCATAAATTATTCAATCATGATTTCCGTTATCAAGGACACAACTCGATCTCAAATGTTAACCCATAAGTTGTAATCTCTTTAGTGAATTTCCGGTCAACGGCCCCACTTGCCGCTTCTATATACAATGCATACCCTGTACTCTTGTATAAATACTTCCTCCATTCTTTTTTTAGTTCCAACATTCAAATTTTCATACTTGTCAACGAGAAACTTTGACCGTAAATATACTTAAATTAATTCTTAATTACTGGAAAAAAAAAAAGTTATCCCTAAGATTTACCTTGTCAGCCATGTATATCCTTCACTTCAAACATTTTCTTAAGAATTTTGTTTAAAAGAACTATTATCATATCCATCAAATATTTATAGTAATTGCTCTAAATAGGATTAAAAATTGAACAAAGTGTATAAATACGACTATATGTTTGTAAATACCTAAATAGGAATTTACTCATTTAAATATCATCAACATACATACATGAATGTAATGATATATATAACTATCTCCTTTGCTTTTAAAATAAATACATTGATCACCATTATTAAGAGTAAATTTGAATGAGAAAATTATTTTATAAAATTTTCATTCTATTGATTAGGGAATTTTTTGAAAACCATACGGAGTATATTAATGAGTTAACTAGTTTGCAAGCTTTTGTTTCATTGTTTTTTGCTACTGTTTCCTCAGGCCGATGCATATAAATTTCTTTTTCATGATCACCAAAATAGTTATCTTCACATCCATTTAATACCGTATATGAAGCACACTATAAAACTTCTTATGGTACGTATCCATTCTTTCTACATCAGTATAAATGAAAAAAAGTAATTGATCAAAATATGACTAAAACAATAGGAAAATTCTATAATAGGAGTAAACTTTAATTTATTCCCAAAATAGGAGTTTATAAATGTGTCACCGGATTCCTCTTCCTCGTCTCTTCTGCGACCACAACTACTCTCTCCTCCGTCTGCAGGTGAGTTTGATTTCTCCAAACTTCCCGACGAATAGCGAGTAGCCAGGTAAGTTCCGATCCGATCTTCTTCTTCTTCCTTCTTTGACCTTCTCTTCTTCCTCTTCTTTCTTTATCTTCTCCTTTCTTATTCATCGATCCTTCCCCCAATTCATTCTCTACGCTTAATCTTTTCCCTACTATATATTTTCAATTGTATTTTTACAATTGATTTCAATTGATCATTTCTGTCAATATACCACTCGATCCTTCTTCTCCTATTCATGCTTATTGTATTTTTAAAAATGAATAAGTTATCTGTCAAAATAGAACTGATTTCAATCAATATTTTTACAAAATTTCAGATTAAATCTTTTATTTCAATTTGGAATTGTCAATTTCACTATTTTAAATTCAATTATCGATTCAAAAATAAGATGACTTTTTGGTATTAGGAAAGACATATTACTTATTTGAAAGTACTATAATTCCATGGTGTGTTCATATAAAGTGTTAATTTGACACAATAATGTCATCTATATGGCACTAAAGTTCATTGGGATGACAATACTAATAGTTCCATGTTGTGTCCACATAGAGTGTTAATTTGACACGATGGCACTAACACCATGGCACTAAAGTTCATCATGATGGAAATATTCACCCCTGCATTGTTTATAATGCCAAGAAATTGTGAAGATGACAATAAGATCTGCACCCTATGTTTAAAATGTCATTAAAATGGCATAATTTAGGGCACTCTTTCAAGGCTTGAGATGGACGGTGGTGGTACCGGAAAAGCCAAAGGTGGCACGTGATGAGGTAAAAGTAGCACAAGATCCGACAACAATGTCGGATGAGGTGGCGACGGCGACAACAAAGTTGTGACGACGATGGAGATGGCAGCGGCGACAGGCAACAATGGTGGTTGCGGCGGCCGTGACGATGACTAGCGACCGTGGTGGTCGTGACGGCGGTGGTAGTGATTGGTGGTGGCAGCGGCTATAGTGATTGGTGGTAGCGATAGCGACCGTAGTGATTGGTGTTGGCGGCAGCGGCCGTAGTGATTGGTGTTGGCGGCAGCGGCTGTAAAAGTCAATTACAATTTTGAAGGCCAAAATTAATACTTAAGTTGTTTACAAATACCAAAATACACAAATAAAGGCCCAATTTCTCGAACCCACTATAACCTTCTAGGCTTCTACTACCTAACATTCAAACAAACTAACCATGATGACTAATGAGTAATGTCCATAAACAAGTCCATTTTATTCCAAGAGCTTGCAAGTCGCGACGGCTGAGCAGCTGAGTAGCTCACGAGTCAAGAGGGATACACTTATGTGATGAATCTACATAGTGATTCCACAAGCCGAGACACACGACTTTGTCCAAAAGTCTTATTCAAATGTTATTTTAAAATTATAAATATGACTAAATACACAATATCATATTAGGAATAAATGATTTTATATCCATGTCGTTTGAATAATTTTATTTATTTTTGTTAGAGATCACTATTGATTTAAGTATATTTATATTGTTCAAATTATTTTAGGAGAATGTATTGTTTTTTTAATATGTGGCATGTTGAACTGTTTAAATATACTAATAATTATTATTGTACAAGATTGAATATGACATCAATAGATTATTAATTGTATCGTGTAGCATTTTAATAATGCATTAAATATGTCGCTAGTAACACCGATCTAGTATATTTCGTTAGTCTATAATAATTTGTTTAATTGGGAGTCATGCATGGTAATTTACCGATACCGTACCGTTACCAAACCGAAACTTCGGTATACCGAAATGCGGTATACCGAAACTTCGGTAAGGTAAAGGTATATAAATTTTGTATACCGAAAGTTTCGGTACGACAAAGGTATGAGAGAAAATATTCGGTATACCGTACCGAACCACCCCTAAGCAAACATTGACAACGACAATTTTGGCTTGTCTTTGATCGCGCAGGGAGAACAACGTGTTTGAAGCTTTTAAATTATTACGGAGTATTTTGTTTTATTTTTTTAATAAACAAATCAAGGTGATTTTCATTAAGGGTATTTTTGTCAACTCATAAATTTTTACTCCTATGTAACTATACGGAAGTTTCAACTCCTACTTTTGCACTTTGCTATTGTTTTACTTCTAATTAGGGAATTATCTCAATGAAAAATAATATATCTTCTTTTATTGGTACCCTTAACAACTAATTTAGACATATATTTATCTATGGTTCCATGCTTCCATATGGTTTCAAGTTGCTCCCTTTCTTCAATATCCTTTAATAACTACTCGTAATATTAAAGTTTATAGATGTGAATATTTATTTACTTATTTGACTTAAATATTATAGTTGGAGTTAAGAATATTGCAACCTGATTTCATGAATAAGGGCTCATAATGTGAAGGAATTAATTAATAGTACAATATTCATAGCCTCTCTATAAATATTAAAATCTATTTAAAAAGCCAATATGATTAATTAATCATATTTTAAATTCTGGGTAATTTATTCCTACAACAAATAATTATTCACACTTGAATCAACAAAAAGTGTTAATTAGATTTCCTTTTATTTATTCCGTATTTAATTAATCGGGCATTTTTATGACATTGTATTTGACATTACCATCTTGTTTACCCCGGGAGCGTCGGGGGAGGAAGGTTGAGGGGATCTTGGAGTAAACTGGACTAAGTTTGAGAGAGTGAGTCGACGACTGCGAGTGGCCCATGGACCGCTTCCTCTGTATTTGATGTTACCATTGCATGTCAAGTTTAAGAGTTTTGATATTGAAATGCGACCTAGAGAATAAAAGTTTGGGAAAATCCCCTAAATAGGACTACAATATCGATAAAGGTTTTAAGTAGAACTATCAATGTTTTATTCTCAAAACAAGACTCATACACTCCTATTTTGGGAAATTTTAATCAAGATATTCTTTTAATAGGACTAAACAAGTCATGTTTAGGGTATAAAACATACCTAGTCCTACATTTTGAACTTTGTGTATATTTTAGTCCTATATTAATCAATTTCTATAAGTATTTACGGAGTTACAATTTGCGAGACATACAATAGATATGAATGGGAAATATTTTTTTGATGTATAAAAACCATTTTAATAAGATATTTTTTACAAATTTTATTTGCTTAGAAAGAAGTGCAATAATATATGAGTTTTTTTGTTATTTATTATTTTCATAGAAAAAGTGGCATAATATTATCAGAACTTTATGGAAGACAAAAGTATGACTAAGTATCAAAATTCACCGGAAAATTAAATGTTGGCCAAAAACTTTTACTGTCGTATTAACATGTTTCACGACGATAATGACACTCATAATAACTAATATTGACCCAACAAACTGCTAGTGACATAATAAATTGATGGTGATATTAATAATTTTCAATATTTTTACCTTTTTATTCATATAATTATCTTTTAAACTGAGCTTCACATCCCTTTAATACAATAATATTTAAGGAGACCTCCATTTCCATACAATCACTTTATACTTTCGAAGCACCAAATTATAACACTACCCGCAACATGCATGCACTTTCGAAATTCTTACCAAAACACCACTAATATAAATCATATTTTGATGTAAGAACCGAAACCTGCAAAGGCTGCAATTCAAGGTTCTCTCCCAAAGAATTGTTCTTTATTTTAAAATTCAAAATATTCAAATTAATTTTTAAAATCATAAAGTTCATTCACAAATTTCCACTTGCCAATGCTTAGATATATTATGAAATTCAGAAGTCGAACAATAGTTTCCGCCTGGCCCAAGTGAACACTTGCCATATTTATAATAATATTCAGTGTAGTTGTGGCGATATGATATTAATAGTGTGAATTGTGGTGATATAATAATATTCAATGCAAAATTAAAACTCTGCGGCCTTCCCTTAGCGTAGGGTTTGAGACCTCCGCCGATGCTGTGTGGAAAGAATAGCGATCGAATGGAGAACGAAGCGGGATCAGGAGAGCAAACGTCACAGAGAAAGGCACTGGAGAGAGAGGGAGCCTTTTCTCAGTCAATCAAGGCGCTCCACGACGGGGATGGGGAGTCGGCGGCAGCGGGTGCAGGCAGCGTGGAGAAATTGACCGATCAGTATGACAGGCTGGTTTTGGGGTGTTTGGAGGATGAATTGTTGCTGGATGACGAGGACGAGGCGGAACCCGATCCTGCAGCAGTGAACAAGGGGGTGGACACCTTCCCCTTGGTCAGTACGATCCTCACGGACAAAGTTGTGAAATTCCAAATCTTCTGGGATTTGATGGTGTCTCTGTGGTGTCCGGGTAAAGGTGTACTGATTCAAGAGATTGGGGAATTGAAAAGAGGTATCTGTTTACTTTTTATCACATAATTGATATGAATCGTGTGCTGGATAATGGTCCCTGGTTGTTTGATCAGAACCTGTTAGTGTTGAAAGCTATTAAGCAGGGAGATGCATTTAAGAGTGCCCCTAGATACGGCTGATTTTTGGGTACAGGTGCACAACATCCCCTATGGATATTCAAATCTGGGTAATGCCCGTAAAATTGGGAATCACTTGGGAAAATTTATTTCCTGGGATGACAAACAATTTGACAAAAAATGGGAAGCCTATATACAGGGGCGTAGCTAGGATTGAAGGTTAGGCTGGGCCGGTACAAAGAATTTTTCTGATAATTTTTTTTCACATAAATTTTTAGACTAAAAATACAAAGAATTTTCAAATTTGGGGCGGGCTGTGGCCCGGTTGGCCACCCCTCTAGCTCCGCCCCTGCCAATATAGGGTGCGGGTGATGTTGGATGTGAGGAAACCCTTAAAAGTGGGAACAACTCTAAAAAGGGCAATGGGGAAGGTTGCCGGGTTGACTTCAATTATGAGAAGCTTCCTAGCTTTTGTTTTGCGTGCGGAGTTATACGACATGATGAAAAATTTTGCCCCTTAATGTATGAAAAGGGGGATAAGGTTGTTGCGAGGTCCTTTGGACCATGGCTGCGGGCGGGTGGAGGGCGACCTCGCTTTTCTTTGGGCAATAAATGGCTAGTGAGCGAAGGAGGGGTAGGAAGAGACCAAGCGGGGTTGCAAAGAAACCTTACAGAAAAAAAGGAACAGAGTCAGAATCACACAAAGGATAAGACTCAAGAGGAAGAGGATTAATCTAAGCTTGAGGAAGCAAGAGGAAATAGCAGCAGAATGGGAGAAAAGAAATGGAGGCGGACCTTGGAGGCACGTGAGCAGGAGCAGGAGCAAACAGAAGAGGATGTCATGGATCTGGATGGAACAAAAAACAGGGAAGAGGCGGGCTGGAGCACCCAGACCCGCCTAAATATGTGAACATCACGTGCTTCTGGTAGAGTGCAGTTATTTTTCATTTTAAGTTGATTTCTCTCATTATTGGGTTTTACTTTTGTTGGGATATTGGCCCGAAAGCCCAATATACCAGGCCGAAAGCCCAATATACCAGGCCCATTATTCAGCAAGGATCCAAAGGAGAATAGGCCCAGTGACTAGTTATACCGAACGGGATCCAGGGAACCAAGGGATTTATACCCCGAACGGGGATCAGGTCATGCAGGTAACTTGGGCCATATTAACAATGATATCAGCATGGACGTCGTTCTAAAGCCCGAACGTGTAGCCTGCAAGTGGCAAGGGGAATTTAATGCTAGGGTATGGCGTCAGCAAGTGGGAGTATGGGCATCCAAGTGGCTCGAGAATGGCAGCAAGTCAGATTCAACCATGTCATCACCCCCATCTCCTTTTATTAGTATAAATAGGGGCTCTAATCTCATTTGTAAAGGGAGCATCTTGAGACTCAAATCCTAGAATAGTTTTATCATTCTTGTTATTGTATTGTCACTATTCCGACGTACTGTTCGGGAAGTTTCCTGTATAATCAGTGAAATTGCTTAATATAAGTGGGCTTTTGAGCATATTATTACCCAGCTTTTATATTTTCTTAGACCCTCGACTTATTTTCTATATCCTTAATATCAAAAGCGTGTGTTGGGCTTTCAGATCTGTGGGACTTAACCTCAACAACTTTAGACATCGTTTTTTTGTTAGCATTTAATTTTGTTTATGTCAAGACGCTAGAACATAGGATTGGTGATGGGGAGTTTAGTTTGCTAGTCAATGGCTTAGGTAAGCCCAATTTAGGATCAGCGAATCTGGTTGCTTCTTTTGAGGTGGCAGGTTCTAAGTCTGGTTTAAGGGCGGACGGTAGACAGTGGGCTCCTTGTCTGATTGTATCCTACTTATGTTCTTTATTATCAATATAAGCCATCTTCTTCCAAAAAAATTATATTCAATGCAGTGTGAATTGTTAATTGGGAAAATAGCCCGAAATATATAGGAGTAAATTAGTCCCTAAATACATAAATAGGACTATGATGTTTATATATATATATATATATATATATATATATATATATATATATTCCTAAAATAGGATTAAATTATACTCTATCTTCCTACTCCATATTGTACTCTTATATCATCATAACTTAATAGAAAAATCATATTTAAATGTGTAATAAACACATAAAAAAATTAACACATTAAAAAAATATTTAAAAATTATACTACCTCTGTCTTAGCTGAAATGACAAGGCATTATACATCTCCGATATCGTTACATATGTAATCCCTACTGTATTATATTGCTTCCGTTCCAAAATTATTTGCAAAACCAAATTTTATTTGTCAATACAGTTTCACTTTGAACCCGTTTGATAGCACTTTGAAACGGTTGATTCTGTTGAAATGTATGAAACTCTGGCTAAAGTTGCTGGATTGGCTGATTCTGCTGAATTATGGAAAAATTTTACTTAAAATATTACAGAGTATTTATTGATAAAATAAAGAAAACAGTTATCATAGTATAGAATTGTTATTGTTAATCTTTGAAATTTTAACTAGGTTTATTTATTGTTGTTTGGGAAATTACACACTTTTGGTGTAATACTTTATTTTAACTAGTTTATTGTAATTTATTAGTTTTAGAAGATTTTGAGTTTGAATAAAACAAAGGAGCATGGAAGATATCTTACAAGACCAAAGGAAGGTGCAAGGGAGCAAGAAATCATACTAAAAATGTGATTTGGTGACTTATTTACCCGGTCGGGTATAATCTTTACCCGGTCGGGTAAGTTATGATGTTTATTCCTTCAACTCCAAAGACCCAACACTTTCTCTTGGGTTTCGAATGGAATATGTAGTGCAAGCAAGTAAGGAAGAACAAGTAAGAAGAGTAGTAAGTGGGCCGTGTCTTATTCAATATCAATAAGAATCTATCACAACACAGTTCACTACAAGCCAGTTAGGCCATTCGTCTAATTGAGCTAGGAAGAGGGGGGATAATTGCTATTGCTAGAGAGTATAAGTTGTCAACCCTTTACAATGAAATAAATGCTACTATTTATACTACCAAGGGTAGGTAATATTGATGATATGGAGCTTTGTGAATGGCTAGCTTCCCAACCACCAAATCCATTGCATTAAATGCTTTTCCCACCAATATCTTGGTTTCCCGCCAAGGGATCTGGACGAGCGTCCCCCTGATCTTGAGCCCTGTATCCGGATGAATTGAATGCAAGGGCGGGGCTCCACACGACTTATGAGGACCGTCGTGCTGAAGACCATGGATCATCACCGGCTCTTGTTGGGCCAAGGCCATTGAGGCCGAGCGTCTTTGTGGACACGACGAGCGTCTGATTGACGTGCCAGATTGTGCGCAAATTGGGCCTTGTTTGTTTCCTTGTTGAGGGGTGATGAGGCGATCCGCTATCGGGCCTATTAACCCAACATAGGAAAATATCCAAAACGATCATCTAGAGTAAGTTTAACACATTCAACCTGAAAAGTAACCCCAACCTTGCTTACTTATTCTGATTATTACACAACTCAGTGCGCAGAATCAAAAGTTACATGTGAAAAAGTTGACTGATAAGCCTGATAAGTCAAAAAATTGGATCACCAAACGGCTCTTGTCTACTTATTTAGCATAACAATTTTTTATTATACTACATATTCTAATAATAATATTGTAAGGTTATTCCAGGTGAGAGTGTTATCACTCATCATAGGATGCTTGTGCTTGACTTTCGAGGTAAGAACCATAGAAGACAAGTTAAACAACAAGTGGAGCCAAAGATAAAGTGGTGGAGGCTTGAGGGAAATCTTCAACAAAGCTTTACACACAAAATGGTCAGTGAAGATGTATGGCGTATTGATAATGAAACACATGTGGATGATGTGTGGTTATCAATGGAGTTGACCATTAACAAAGTGGCAAAAGAGGTACTTGGAGAATCTAAAGGATGCCTGCCACCTAAAAAAGACACGTCTGGTGGAATGATGAGATGAAACAAGCCATAAGGAACAAAAGAGATTGCTACAAAAAGTTGGGGACAAGTTGGAGTGATGAGAACATAGAAGCATACAAGGAGGCTAAAAGACAAGCAAAGAAAGCCGTAAGGGAAGCACGGGGGAAAGTGAACAAGGAGTTGTATGAAAAGTTGGACTCTAAGGAAGGAGAACTAGATATTTATAGACTTGCTCGTCTTCGTGACAGCAGGACTCAAGATATTGCAATCGTTAAGTGTGTGAAGGATGTCGATCAAAGGATATTAATGGATGACGGAGAGATAAAAGAGAGGTGGAGGTCATACTTTGATACAATATTCAACGGGAACAAAACGCAAGATATCAGTGATTTGTCCATACCAGCTTGTATGGTAAATCGTGATTTTGTGAGACCGATCCAAACAATGGAAGTTGAAGAAGCTCTGAGGAAGATGGGACGGAAGAAAGCAGTGGGTCCAGATGGCATACCGATCGAGGCTTGGAGAAGTTTGGGAGAGAGTGGCGTCGAGTGGTTAACAAGTTTCTTCAACATGATTTGGAGAAAAAACAAGATGCCAACGAGTTGGAGGAAGAGTAGTCTTATCCCCTTATTTAAGAATAAAGGTAATCTACAAGAATGTGCCAACTATCGAGGGATTAAGCTTATGAGTCACACCATGAAACTTTGGAAGCGAGTGATTGAGCAAAGACTTCGAAGAACTGTGAAGATTTCAGAGAATCAATTCGGTTTTATGCCTGATCACTCAATAACTCAGACCATTCACCTTCTTCGGAAACTTATGGAGAAGTATAGAGACGCTCATAAGGATCCGCATTTGGTGTTCATTGACTTAGAAAAGACATATGATAGGGTACCTCGAGAAGTTGTTTGGTGGGCCTTAACTAGTAAAGGCATATCACGCAAGTATATCAGCATCATCATGGATATGTATGAGGATTGTACTACAAGTGTCCGTACTAGTGTAGGAAGGACTGAAGAGTTCCCTATTACTATCGGAGTGCACCAAGGATCGGCTCTGAGCCCTTTCTTATTTGCCATAGTCATGGATGAACTTACGAAGTCAATTCAAGACGATATACTGTGGTGCATGATGTTTGCCGATGATATTGTATTGATTGATGAGACGCAACCAGGTCTTAAAATAAAGTTGGAAGTATGGCGACAAACATTGGAGAATAAGGGTTTCAAATTAAGTCGGAGCAAGACAGAGTACATGGAGTGCAAGTTTGGTGGAGGTAGAAGCAATGGTAATAGCAGAATTACTTTGGATGGTAAGGAGATATCAGTCAGCGATATGTTCCGTTACTTGGGCTCCATAATTTAGAAGGACGGTGAGTTAGATGGAGATGTATCCCATAGAATCAGGATAGGGTGGATGAAGTGGAAGAGTGCGTCAGGATTTCTATGCGATCGAGGTATGTCGACTAGACTGAAGGGTAAATTTTATAGGATGGCAATTAGGCCTGCATTACTGTATGGCGTAGAGTGTTGGGCGGTGAAACAATGTCACATTCAAAAGATGAGTGTGGCAGAGATGTGCATGCTACGTTGGATGTGTGGGCATACTAGGAAGGACCGCGTGAGGAATGAGACAATCAGATAAAGGGTGAGAGTAGCAAATTTGACGAGCAC